CTTTTAGGTGGTTATTGTAAATGATATTGCTTTACTAATTTCCTTTTCAGCACTGTCATTATTAGTATAGAGGAATCTAACTGATTTTTGTATGTTGTTCTTATACCCTGCTGCTTTGTTAAATCTCCCAATGAGTTCTAGTAGTTTTTTTTTTGCTGAGTCTTTGGGGGTTTCTATGTATAGATTCATATTATCTTCAAATAGTGTTTTACTTCCTCTTTGCCAATTTGGATGCCTTTAATTTCCTTATTTTGCCTTATAGCTCTAGCTAAGACTTCCAACACAATATTTAATAAGAGTGGTGATAAAGGGCATCCTTGTCTGGTTCCTGTTCACAAAGGGAAGTCTTTCAGTTTCTCTCCATTGAGAGTGATGTTGGCTGTTGGTTTTGTATATATACTCTTAATTATGTTGAAGAATATCTTGTCAATTCCTAATCTGTTGAGTGTTTTTATCAGGAATGGATGTTGGATTTTGTCAAATGCCTTTTCTGCATCAATCAATATGATCATGTAGTTCTTTTTCTTTTTATTTATATGGTGGATTACGTTGATTGTTGTTCTGATGTTGAACCATCCTAGCATCCCTGATATGAATCCCACTTGATCATGATGTTTTTTTGTGTTTTTTTTTACATTCTGTTGAATTCTGTTGGCTAGGATTTTGTTGAGAATTTTTGCATCTATGTTCATGAGGGATGTTGGTCTATAATTATCTTTCTTACTGATGTCCTTCCCTGGTTTTGGTATGAAGGTTATGTTTGTTTCATAGAATGTATTAGGAAGTTTTCCATCCTCTTCTATATTCTGGAATAATTTGAGTAGAACTGGTGACAGCTCTTCCCTGAATGTTTGGTAAAACTCACCAGTGACGCCATGTGGACCTGGACTTTTTTTGTTTGGGAGTTTTAACCGGGTCAATTTCTTCCTATGTTATAGGTCTGTTCAAGTTTTCTGCTTCACTCTGTGTAAAATTAGGTAGGTGGTGCTTTTCTAAAAATGTATCCATCTCCTCTAGATTGTCACATCTGTTGGAGTACATCTCTTCATAATACTCTCTTATTATCCTTTTAATTTCTATTGGTTCTACTGTGACATCACACATGTGGTTTCTTACGGGTTATTTGTGTCTTTTCCATCTTTTTTTTTTTTGTTAGGTTTGACAATAGTTTGTTGATTTTATTAATTCTTTCAAAGAACCAGCTTCTTGTCCTTTTGATTCTTTCTATAGTTTTTCTCTTTTCTATCTCATTTATTCTACTCTGATCTTTATTATTTCCGTTCTTCTGCTGACTGTAGGTTTACTTTGCTGGTCTGTTTCTAGTTGTTGGAGATGTTGTGTTAATGTGTTGATTTTAGTTCTTTCTTCTTTTTGGATGTGTGTTTTTATTGCAATAAATTGTCCTTTCAGCACCGCTTTTGCCATGTCCCAAAGATTTTGGTACGTTGTGTGTTGGTTCCCATTTGTTTCTAACAAATTTATGAATTCATGTTTTATTTCTTCTACTGTCCTGTAGCTTTGAAGCAGGGTGTTATTCAGTTTCCATGTATTTGACTTTATTTCCTTTGTGTTCCTAATGTTGATTTCTAGTTTTATGGCATTGTGGTCTGAGAAGATGCTTTTAGTATTTTGATGTTAGTAAATTTATGGAGGCTTGTTTTGTGGCCTAAGAAATGGTCTATTCTGAAGAATATTCCATGTGCACTGGAAAAGAATGTGTACTGTGCCGTTGTTGGGTTGAATGCTCTGTACACATCTATGCGGCCCAGTTGTCTGATTGTGTTGTTTAGTTCCTCTTTGTCTCTGGCAACTTTCTTTCTGGTAGTTCTATCCATTTTCAAAAGTGGTGTATTAAAATCACCCACTATTATTGCAGCTATGTCTGTTTCTTTCTTCAACTCAATTAGAGTTTGTTTTATATATTTTAGAGCTCTTTCACTGGGAGCATAGATATTTATTATGGTTATGTCATCTTGTTCAATTGTCCCTTTAATCATGAAATAATGTCTTCTTATCTATTATGCTGGTTTTTGCCTTAAAGCTTATTTTATCAGAGATTAGTACTGCCACTTCCTTTGATGAAAATAGGATTCTGCAGGTTTTTTAAAGAGAAAGACTCCAGACTTTTGAAAGGATTAAAAATGGGCTGGAGGTTTCGGAGACAAAGTGGACATTAGGGGCCTGTGGAGCTGTTAACCATCCTTTAGCTGCGTGGCAAATCTGTTTTCAATTAACAAATCAGGACATAGTAATTATGGCATCCAAGCAGCTACTTTCCTGGTGAGATACTTGCTGTGCTGAATCCTGTGTGTCCCTGTTTGCCTGTTGCTAGGGCAACTGCTGGTCTTTGGAGGGTGAGCAGGGGCTATGGGGAGGCCCCTTCTCTGTTGCTGACTGCTAACTGGCTACCCTGTATGGATTCCAGCTGCTCTCAGGGACAGCTGAGACACTTCTCTGAGGATCCCCGGACATATCAACAGCATCCAGGGCCAATGTTTCCATGGTGACAAAGCTTATGGCACTGTATGTATAAGCAGAAGTGGTGTCTGTGAGGCCTGGAACAAAAGGTCTGATTCCAAACAATAGAAAATTCATACTTAATTGAGCAAAAATCATCCAAGGGAAAACAAGGAGACTGAAGGGTCATAAAAAGACTCTTTGTGAGGGCTCTTTCCAGTCACATTATTTAAACTCAACTGAAAAATTTTTTTTTTTCCATTTTGTGATAGACTTTTCAGGAGGTCTTTTAGATTTTTCCCTAGTTTTTGTTCCTTATACAGAGTCAGTTTAAAATATAGGCGTTTCGAGAGGTACCCAGAGTATCTCTAAAGTAACGTCTGGAGAACTGCTTCCAAAGGGCCCCAGCCACAGAAGAACCACAGCTTTACGATGTGCACATAGGTTCACCATGACACTCACAGCAACTGGTTACGCTTTTGAAATGATTCATTGAAAGGCATAGATAGGAACACAGCTATTTGTCATTAAAACAGCAATTTTACTAACTTGAACCAGTGTTGTTAAATGCCATTGAGTTGCTTTCAACTTATAGCAACCCTGTATAGGGTTTCCAAGGATCTTCTGGTGGGTTTCAACCACGGACCCTGAGGTTCAAACCAAGCTGGTGGTCCAGTGCATTAGCTACAGCGCCATCTGAATTCCCTGGATAACTAGAGCTACTGTACATGGGCTCTCCATGGCATGGGAATTAGCTGTTGAACGCTCTCTAAAAGACATCAGGAAAGATGCTAAAAACCTCAAATTGCCAGGTCATCTCACAAACTGAGGGCCATCACCTAGCCTGTTAGATGCTGTAGTGAAATAACCAAGGTAGCCTGCATATCCTTCACCATATAAAAAGCAACCTTCCGGGAGATTTACAAAAGGTTTGATCTTCTTGGGTATGAACTCTGAGAAAAGGACTGCATCTATACAGCATCTGGGGTAGGAAATGTAGACTTAGATTTTTGGAGTGCCCCTGTTCTGTTGCCTCTGTCATTATAATTTCTGTTTCCCTTCACTTTGCTCTAGGCAGTGGTAACTCTGGAGCATTGTCCTGGCTTAGGCACGTACATGTACCATGTAAATGACTCCCCAAACTACTGACCTTGGTTAAAGCAAGGATCAAGGAGAAGCTTTGAGGATGTGATACCAGCCATAGACAGTTCTAGAAAGATGAGTGTTCTTTATTTGAACTTTCCTAAGGAAATAAGCAAACAAACAAACAAACAAAAAAAACCCTAAATCTGCTATGAGGACTCATAATTCTTCGATAGACTTCACTGACAGGGAGTTCTTCCTAGATCATAATTGGAATTCTTTCTACTAAGACCTCTGGAAAATTGTGTTATTGCAGAAAAGAATAGGTAAAAAATCAACAGACCAAAGCACAAATTTAGTATCTGCTTTTTGTAAGAATTCCAGACGATTCCATGGATCTAAGAAGTCTTCAGTATAGATTACTACTCAGTGTAAAGAAAACAAAAACCCTCATCACTGGACCAATAAATTACACCCTAATAAATAGATAAAAGATGGAAATTGTCAAGGATTTCATTTTACTTGTATCCACAAACAACAATCAAGGAAGCAGCAGTCAGGAAATCAAACAATGTGTTGCATTAGGCAAATCTGCTGTGAAAGCTGGACAGTGAATAAGGAAGACCAGAGAAGAATCGAGGCATCTGAATTATGGTGTTGCTGAAGAATAATGAAAGTAACGCCAAATTGCTCCTTATAAGGGAAGATGGCAAGATTTTGTCTCACATACTTTGGACATGTTATCAGGAGGGACCAGTCCCTGGAGACGGACATCATACTTGGTAAAGAAGAGGGTAAATAAAAAAGTGGAAAAGCCCCAATGACATGAGTTGGCACAGTGGCTGCAATGATGATCTCAAACACAGCTCCAGCTATGCGGACGGACGGCACAGGACCAAGCCGTGTTTTGTTCTGTTGTGCACAGGGTTGCCATGAGATGGAATCAGCGTGATGGCACCTAACAACAACCGTCTAAACAGGACTCTGAAGCCTTGAATCTTTACATAATGGTTTTGTGTGTTGTAAATGTATTCAGTAAACATTTGTTTCATGAATCAATAAATGAGTATCTACTTCTATACACCTTTTGGAAGAAGTATTTTATAATTGTTATCAGATTGAGTCTCCAGGGTGTTCAACCTTGAAAAAACAAAAGATTCAATCAATTTTTGAAAAACTGAGGTCTAAATAATGCAAGTCTCTCCTTTCTCTAAAGAACATACCAGAGCAGACTTTTTCAAACTACGTGCACCTGAGTTGATGGGACTTGATAAAGTACAGACTCTGATGCACTAGTCCTGGGTTAAAGGCTGAGATTCTGTTTTTCTAACAATTTCCCGAGGGTGGGTACTGAGGCTTCTGGCTCAACAGACCTCACTCTGATCATCTGAGCAACAGGACATACAGCCTGAGTTCAAATGTGACCTTTCAAAGCTCAAGGTCACAGAGCATTGCCTTACCTTCTTCGGCTGTTGACAGCGATGCAAACTGCGAGAATCAAAGCCAGGGCCAAGAGGGATGCCAGGATGATCAGCCATTCTAGGTAGAGTGAACCAAAAGACATGTGTGAGCTTTGGAAATAACACTTGGTAAAAAGTAATATAGTTTATAAACTTAGTGGGGCCAAACAAGAATGACAGCATTGCAGATGGGCCTGACCAAGAAGCCTAGTCAGCAGGCAGATAACACTTAAAAAAAAAAACCATTTTGCTACAGATATTAGTCCAATGGACCTCTTATTTTAAACTTTTATCATCAGTCAAGATTTTCCACTTCCTCTGAGAGAAACTTGTTTCCAAACAGCTGAAAGATTTGCTATTGAAATTTGTAGATGCATTTGGTGCAATACTGTTAAACAGGCCAGAGGAAAGGAATGCTTCCCATGAAAAGAGCATTCCTTTCCTAGATAAGAACAGCAACCTTACATTTTATTAAGAAACAAAAATAGAGGCCAAAGTTTAGTGTGTACAAAAAGGCCACTCATAGGGAGTCCTGGTGTGGCGCTGTAGGTTAATGCACTGGGCTACAAAGTCGGTTTCAACTGTAAGGTCGGCGGTTCAGGCTTACCAGCTGCTCATTGGAAACCCTGTACAAGGTCACTATGGGTGGAAACTAATTTGATGGCACTTTAGCAACAACAACGACAACAGGGAGTACTGAAGGGCTGTGAGCCAGAATATGTTCAGAAATTTGGCAGCCTTTGCCCAAACGTTCAAAATGTTTATACTTTTGATCTAGCTATCGCATTTCTAGGTATTTCCGAGCTAAAAAATAGCTGTTTGGATGCTTATTATTGTGCTATTTATAACAGAAAAAATTGGAAGCAATCCAATAGTAAAGTTCAACAGATTAAGATGCATTCATTGTATTGTATACCATGATGGAAGGGAAGAATATTTAAGGACATGGAGAGCTATGCCCAATTAAGTTGGGGATGTTAGTTTGTTCTAGAATGGTATAAATGCATTTTTAAGTGTAAGTTACAGTGATAATAACAGGAAGTAAAACAACAATGGGCACTAGGGCACACATTGATCTTGATCCAAAATGTTGATAGCACCAAATGTTGACAAATGCTGATGAAGCAAAAGGTACTCTCAGTCATTGCTGATAGGAATACAAAATGGCACGGCCACTTTGAAGACAGTCTGGCACTTTCTTACAAAGCTAAACATAGTCTTTAACATACAATCCAGCAATTGTGCTTGTACTATTTACCAAAGTGATCTGGAAAGTAACCTGACCATGAATGATTATAGCAGTTCTATTCACAATGGCCAAAACTTGGAAGCAGCTACAATGAACGTTAGTAAGTGAATGAAAAAGCAATAAAACGGAATATTCTTCAGGGATTAAAAAAAAATGAGCTCTCAAGTCATGAAAATGCTTGGAGAAACCTTAAGTGTATATTTCCATGGGAAAGAAAGCAGCCTGAAAAGGCTACATACTATATGATTCTAATTATATGGCATTCTAAGGAACTCTGGTAGTGTAGTGGTTACGAGTTGGGCTGCTAATCTCAACATCAGCAGTTTGAGACTACCAGCAGTTTTGCAGGAGAAAGATGAGGCTTTATGCTCCTCAGGAAAAAAAAAAAAATCATATTTAAAAAGACTTGCCAACTTGAATATATTCACTTGAAAAATGGATTGTACAGATGTGTAATGAACCAATGCTGGAGGGAAGAAGACAGATAGGGAGTCACTCAATCTCTTTGGGAGTTTTGGCTTTCCTCCAGCTTCTGATCTGCACTGCCTTTGCCTCACTTGTAACTAGTTAGGTGAGTTTGGGACTTTGAACAAGTTTTTCCTGGTTTAGTCATGGCCTATACAAAGCAATACCAGAATTTGTAAAATCTGGGTATACTGAAACAATAAACAGAATAAGAAAAATTACTGATTAATGTCTGGTTATAAACACAATCTCCCTCTTAGAAAACAAGAACACTGTACCCACTGTATAGCAAACAAATTTCTTGAATGACAAAGTCAAAACAACAGGGCCAGGCTCAAAGATGGCAGCCACTGTTCCCTCTGAATGTGGGTCATACTCCACAATCCTGGCAAAATTCAAAATCTCCTACATCAGGTTCCTGAAAGGGCTTAATCTGCCTCTTCCAAGCCTCCATTCCAGGCCTTCAACCAGTAATTTCTACTGTTCTGGCACACAGACATTGTATAAATTCAAGTCTTTCCTGATATTGCTGCAATGGCCGTGATGGAACCAACTTAAAATGTCCTTGTTTGGAGAGGGCAGTAGAGCCAGGGGGTGTCAAGCCCAACAGGAGGGGATCATTTCTACTGTTTCTCCCTGGCCAGCCCTGGATATGCCCCACCCCACCCCCCACCCCACTAAGCCTCACTAGAGCTGAGAAGGGACCTCTAGAGTTTTGAGCCCTCTAAAGACAGGAGTCCTGGTATGGCACTGTGGGTTAATGCACCAGACTGCAAAGCTGTTTGAACTGAAAAGGTTGGTGGTTCAAGCTCACCAGTCACTCCTCGGAAACCCTATACAGGGTTGCTATGAGTCAGAACTGACTCTACAACACTTAACAACAACAAAGAGAGGAGGGAATTCTAAGGCTAATTTACAACTCTAGGAAAGCTTTCTCTTTTTTGTAATCTTTGCAAATGCTCAATTTTGAGTCCAAGCCAAACATATGCTTTAAGTGCTTTAAGTCTTGATGCTCAGGACAGTCAGGTGTTCCTGTCCCCTCACTGCACATGAAACACTTTCTGGAAGGTGATTTCTGCCTGGATCTGTTGGAGTACTAGAAAGATATTTTGACTCCACTCGTGCAAATGACCCTTGTATCTCCTTACTTTCTGCAACATGGAAGGTATTGCTCTGGCCCCAGAATAAAAGGGGACATTGGAGTGCGATAGGAAGGACCTGGCTATCACATGGAATCTTTTGGATGATGACTTATATGGGAAGGAAGTTTTAACAGCTAAGATGGCAGTTCTTTGGAACAGAGCTGATACGAGCTCAATCCAGCAGGCCCAGGATTCCACCATTTCCTATCAAAAGCCTGTTGTGCTTTTGCACATTCTTAACATGGAAAGAAACAAAGGGTGGCATTTAGGAGAATGCGCTTTCAAACTGGCCTCTTCTTTTTTTTTTTTCTCTCGGACATTCAGAAGGATCTGCTTTAAACATCTTTTTCTGTTTCACAGCAGGGAGAAACTCACCTGGAATTTGTGCTTTCCTCATCGTATTGGGTGTTGTGTTCTCCCCACCTCTTTGACTGACACTTGAATCTCCTAAGGAGAAAAACAACATCTTTCACCCCAAGTTCTGAATGCATAGCTGTAAGCAACTCACGGAGCAGCATACAGGTCAGCCTGAATGATCTATAGCACCGCAAAGTCACTTACAGATTCAACCCACAGACATTTATATAATGTTACCAAAACTGAACAACAACAACAAAAAACCAAACTGGTAGCTAGTGAGTCAATTTCAACTCATGGGTGACCCATATGCTGTAGACTAGAAGTGTTCCATTGGGGTTTCTTGACTGTAACTTTATAAAACAAATTGCCAGGACTGTATTTCTCAGCACCATTGAGTGGGTTTGAACCTCTAACCTTTCAATTGGGAGTTGTGTGCAAACTGTGAGAGTTAGGGACCTAAAAAATGCCATTCACAAGACACTGTCCCCTAAAAGTTTGTTTTGATGAAAGCTGAGGTTTAGAAATGATATTATTTTTCTTTTCTCAAAGAACATGACAATTCTCAGAGGCAGTGGCAGTCTGTGGTTAAGATCTTCGGCTGTAGAAGTGGGCAGACCTACCTTTTGCTAAAAGTGTGTGTATTCTGGATTAAAGTACCTTTTCCAAGTCTCATTTATGTAATGCAGATAATAATAAAACGTACTCTATAATTTTACAGAGGTTGAAAGAAGTATACAATATTTATAGCGTGTGTAGTTGCCACTTTCTATTTTTTCTTGGGGGTTTTGCTACTCAAATTGTAGTTTGTGGGCTTGTGAGGAATATAGAACTTAGGTCTTATTTCAGACCTACTGAATCAGAATCTTCATTTTAACAAGATCCCAAGGGGATTCACATCTTTTAGAAATACCAAAGCAAGTCAAAAAATCACAGCCACAGGAATGCAAGAGTTAAAGGGAATAGAGGTAAATACTGTTAACTGATGGTACATGGAAGGGATTGCAGTCTTTGTAATGAAACAAAGTACACGATTTGTTGAATGTAAAACTGATGATCCGCTCTGTAAACCTTCACTCAATTTTCAATAAAGTTTAAAACAAAACTAAAATTAAAATCGAAGTCAGTGTTTTTATAGAAGTAAATGTAAACATTTTAAAACAAGTGTTTGCAGGGATGGAACAGCCTTTTTTTGCTTTATGAAAAAACATCCCATTAAAAGCCCTGGATACCAATGTATTGATGAAACTTCTTGATTTTAGAAGAATATATGTCTTCTACTGCTTAAAAAAAATAAGGAAAAAACCAATCAAAAAACCTCAAACTAGAAGGAAGCTTCCCAGAACAAAGACGCTTTAGTCAGATAGGAAGCTCATCAAAATGAGGGCAGCATCCGATTTTAAAAAGAAACTCCTCAGACACGTAGTGCTCCATCCCTCTGAACATACATAAGCATTTAAAGGTCCCATTAAAACAAATATTCTACTAAATAGGAAGCCACTCCAGAACCCTAAATGCCTAAAAGGGGAGGCATACTCAGGCAAGGCTGTTTGCCTAATAAATGGATGAAGATGGCCAGGTCTTCATTCCATGAAAAGTTCCTCAGAGTCAAACCTTAGACATGAAAACTTTGATGACAATGTGATTTGAGGCAGAAGCTCTCCTGTCCATGAAATCAGATCTTTCTGTTAAACTCAGAATGGAGCAAAACCAGTTCTTACCAAATACCTGGTTGTTTCCACAGACCCCACTCCATTCTGGCCTTGGTGACCAGCAGCCTTTCACCTGCTCAGGCCAGCAGGAGATCTGTGGCCTTGAAAACCACCTAAGAGGCACAGTCATTCTTGCTGGTCTTTCTCTGACTCACATCAGCCTTTGATCGTTGAAAGGAAGGCCATTAATGGATCATAATCTTTTCATTTTGATTTAAAATAAATAAATAAATAAAAAGTGCTCCCAGCAAGGAAAGATCTGGGTGTGTTTACAATGAGATGAATCCTCATGTTCCAACAGAAGACACCTGCACCAGCGTCAAACAAAGGAGATCAGCTCCCACCCACCTGATTCGTACTTCAAGCAAAAACCGAGGTGGATGGACAAGATACAGCAGGCTTCCCCTTCCACCCTAGAGGTCTGCAAATGCAGCCAGGGCTGGGCTGGCTGGGAAAGCAGGTTTTGCAAAGAGGGGCACTTGACTCTTCAGTTAGGGAGAGGAGATCCAATCTGAGACGTGCACGCAGTAATTCAGCCAGCGTCCACTGTGAGAAAGCAGCCCAGGACAGTGCTTCTCAAACTTAAATGCGCACACAAACCTCCTGGGAGTGCTACTGAGGTCTGGTTAAAAGGTAGATTCTGATTTAGGGGGGCTGGGGCTAGCCAGAGATTCTGCATTTCCAACAAACTCCAAGATGGACCATACTTGGAGTAATTGGGGTCTCTTGTCTTTAGAAAGCATTTTCCCAAGGAGTCCCAGAGTGGTGCAAACAGTTAAACATTTGGTTACTAACCAAAAGGTTAGCAGGTTTGGATCAACAGAAGAAAGATCTGTTGATCTACTTCTGAAAGGTCACCGCCATTGAAAATTCTATGGAGCACAGTTCTGCTCTGACACACGTGGGGTCCAAGAGTTGGAAGGAACTGGTACAAGTTCATTTTCAAACTGCCTTTACACTCCCATAACTTTTGTTCTTCACAAGATCTCTAGGAGGTAACCTAGACAGGCATTCAGATTTCCTTTTACTAATAGGGAGATTGTGATCAAGAAAGGTTTAGTACCCTGTCCAAAGTGCCTAGTGAGCCCAAGACATCTGTCTCATCTGTATTTTGAATAAGCCCCTTTCTCTCCAGGTTCTTACATAAAAGGTTATTACTAATGTCTTGTCATGTAAATGTTCATTCTAATATTGCCTTTAAATGTGTGAATATTTAAACCAGGAGGCAAACCTAGCCCCATATTGGGAATGATGATGAAAGACAGCAATCCACATGACTTCACCTGGATTTGCAGATGACCGGCAAGCCATTATCTTCTGCAGAACCCTTCAGTGGCCCCAGTATTAGATGTCAGGAGTAAACCTTCATTATGTCATGCTTTGGCTGCCTAGAGTAATGTTTCTAATTGGGGAAACTGAGTCATGGCAAACAGGAATCCATTTAATGTGTAATATGGGCATAACAATCATACTTACAGACATCACAGGACTCCTGGTGTGAGGCTCTAGGATAAGCACTGGACTGCTAACCACAAGGTTGGCAGTTGAAACCCACCAGCTGCTCCTCAGAAACCCTACACAAGGTTCTATGAGTTAGAATTGACTCGATGGAACTTAACAACATGTATGCCACATGGTTTGTAGCAGAACTGAATGAGTTGATATTAGATGAACATATGAAATTACTGATATTTGATTTTTCTTGTTCTTCAGAAAGGACACATTCATGTATTTCAACCCAATACATGTAAAGTGTTTAAAACAATGTCTGGCACACATATGTTCTCAAAAAATGTTAGCTATTATTACCGTGTGCCAGGGATTCTTCTAAATGCTTTACATGTGTTCCATTACTTAATCTTTAACAATGACCTGTGGCAACTCCACCACCCCTGCCACGGAGTCTAATCCAATGCAGAGCAACCCTGCAGAGGGGTTCTGAGACTATAAATCTTTACAGGAGAAGGCAGCTTCATCTTCGTCCTGTGGCACGACCGGTGGGTTTGAACTGCAGAACTTATAGTTAGTAGCCCACCCAACCACCAGGGTCCCTATTATCCAAATTGTATTGACTAGGAAACTAAGCCTCAGACTCCATAGCATTTTCCCCAATTCATACGGAGTTGAGATTAAACCTAGACCATTCTTACTCGCCAGATGGAACACATAGAAATCAAATAGACTACATCTGTGGAAAGAGAAGATGGAAAAGCTCCATATCATCAGTGAAGACAAGGCCAGG